GTGCCATAATTTTGTCTTCGACATAAGTTTCATGGATGCAACATTTGTTGAACCACTTACAACCTCAGCCTCAAGGGTTTACAAGCCTTGTTTCTTCACGCTCTCAAGACTTCCTTCGACCCCTTTATGACTCTTAGAATACTTTTCTCTCCTTGAAAAACGTATCCTTTTCTGTCGAATTCACCAAGAGAAATCAAATTTCTCTTCAAGTTAGGTACATACCTGACTTCAGTCAATAACCTTATTGATTCATCATGAAGCTTGAATCTCACATATCCAATACCTGCAATTTTGCAAGATTTTTTATTTCCCAACAGCACAAATCCACCATCTTGATCACATAGCCCCTCGAACAATTCTTTGTTTGGACTCATGTGCCAAGTGAAACCTGAATCCATAATCCACTTTTTCCTCGAGTCGCCACTTGAAACCACAAGAACATCAGATGAGTCGAAGTCATCTTGAACAATGGCTGCATTGCCATTACCTCCATGATCTTTCAAGCGTTCAGGGCACACCTTTCTTATGTGACCCTCCTTCTTACAGTGATAACATCGAATACTAGATGTTGCACCACTATAGGACTTCTGTTGACTTTTACCTTTCTTCTTGTCGAACTTACCATCCTTTCGCAGGAATTTCCCCTTAACGGCCAAACCTTCGCCCACCGTCGAAGGTTTATGCTCATTTCGTTCGTTCAAGTCCTTAGAATACAAGGCTGATTGAACTTCTTCCAAGGTCAGGGACTCCCTTCCATACAAGAGAGTTTCTTTGAAGTGAACATATGTTTTGGGCAAAGCACATAGCAACAACAGTGCTTGATCTTCATCATCAATCTTCGCATCAATATTTTCAAGATCAAGAATCAGCTTGTTGAACATATCCAACTGCTCAGTCAACACTTTTTCTTCACTCATCTTGAATGAATATAAAGCTTGCTTTAGGTAGAGTCGATTCACCAGAGATTTGGTCTTGTACAAACTTTCAAGTTTCACCCATAATCCCGATGTTGTAGTCTCCTTTGATACCTGCCGAAGAACCTTATCACCAAGGCTCAACAATATTGTGCTATGGGCTTTCTCGATCATGCCCGTCTTTTCTTTTGTCGTTAACGCAACGTCCATGGTTGCCTCACCCTTCAACGCTTCCAAACAACCCTACTAAACCAATAGGGCTTTCATCTTCAAGCGCCACAGACTGAAGTTGTTCACTCCGGTGAACTTTTCAATCTCATACTTTGTTGAAGGCGTCTTCTCCATGCTCACCACACCAATTTGTTGCGAATCGGATACCTTTAAACAAAGTATAAACGGTTTCTTAGCAAGAAACACACAAGGGTTAGGGTTAATAAAGAAGAAAACAACAAGGATTGGTTATTAAACTGCTATTCTTTCCTTTCTCTTAGAACAAGATTACAAGTATACAAGAATAACAAAATAACCTCTCTCTCTTGAAATTAGGATTTTATCTTCCTATTTTTCATAATGCCAAGATTGAGAAACTAGCATCCTATTTATAATAAAATAGCACACTAACCTAATGGGCTTTTTAACAATTACTCATTACAAGCTAACTTAGGGTACAAGCTAACTTAGGGTACAAGCTAACTTAAACAATAGGCTTACAAGCAAGGCCCAATTCAACATGCTAACAACCCTAGAAATATTGACTAATGCATGTTAGAACATCCTTCGACTGCAACATGCATTCCTCGCGAACAGACTTCGACCACACTAGAGTTCGATCCAACATCTCACATATTTCAACCTTTTCACTATAATGTTTAAAATGTGATTGAAATATTTCATAAAGTTACACGAGATACCATCAATTAGATTCAAATAAATAAAAACCTGCATAAATATTACTCTTAATATGCATTTGAATATAGTTTTTCTTGTGACATTTGAATTCGATAAGATTTTATATTTTCTCATACGCACGGGTCTTCTACTAGTCTATCTAATACTAATCAATTGAAGACTATATCTATACTACCCTTTCCAATCTAAAATTTTTCACTACAAAAAGGACAACACAGTAAATAACAAATGCCACAAATTTATTCACTTCCTATAACACAAACTCACCATGTGTACAACTATGACTGGCTGAATGGATCATCACAATTTTCCCCCAAATACCATTGCATCTTTGTTCATTTGTATACAAGTTTTTTCCTTTTCTCATTCTCTCTCCCAACCGAACTGCTCTTCCAATAGAACTTATTTCATCTCACTTTCTCTCCCAAGTAGTTCTTCCATATTACAAAGGTTATTTATATGTTCTTAATGTCTATGCTTTTTTCCTTCCATGTATTTTTTGAAATGATTTTTATAGTGATATTTCTATGTTTCCATGAGCTTATTTGCTTATTACAAAGGTTATTTCTATGTTCTCACATTTCATGTGCTTAACATCCTTCCTTTTTTTTTCTTCAAAACATTATGTGTTATGATATTGATGTTTTCACCTAAAGTTTGGATGTATGTCATATATTATGTTATTTGCTCTAATAAATCATGTTTTGAACTAAAGTTTAAAAATATATGTTTTTGTTATAAAAGCTTTTGCTCTCCAACATCATGTTTTCACCTAAAGTTTAAAACTTTTCATGTGTTTATCATTATAAGTTTTGTCTACTGTCATGGAAATAGTTTTTAAAAAGCATATTTTATTTTTGTGAGCTATTTTTTTGAGCTGTTATTTGTTGTCGCAGTTTTTGTTTGCATGTGATGTTTAAGGTGATACTTTGAACTATGTTTGTGTTATTTGCAGGATATGTTTTGAGCTATTTTTGTGTTATTTGCAGGCTATGTTTTGAGCTATTTTTTTGAGTTGTTATTTGTTGTATGACCTGCTTTGTCATTGTGATACATTGTTCAGTTTTTGTCTCAAACATGTCAAGGCCTCCAATCTTTATCAAAGATTTGGTGAAAGGTAATTAAGTTTGGAAAATGCACGTGCGTGTTGTTGATCTTTGGGTTGTTAAGGAGAAAAGTGGTCAACAACATGTCGAGTTGGTCATACAAGATGGAAAGGTAATGCTTGGCCACTTTTGATGCACTTATATGACGTTGTTGTTGTTATCTAACAAATGATTTAACAGGGTGATCAAATTCATGTTGTGACGAGGAATCGAGATTTCAAGGAGTGGGTTGAGCAACTTAAGGAACATGACACTTACGCCATATATAATGGAGAACCGGTGGTTAATGATGGCTCATTCAAAGTTTGTTCTAATAGCCTTAAACTTGTCTTTAATGGAGGAACAACAATTTCAAACATGTCATGCCGGAAATACATCTGCATCAGTTCAAGTTCAAGGCTATTGGAGACTTTCTCAATGGACATTTCCAGATTGATATGTTATATGGTATTTTTTCCTTTATGCATACTAAAAAAATTTTGTAGCCAACATGTATTCATTATGTTTTCGTTGATGCTTTAGATGTGATTGGAATTTTACAAGATGTTGTGAAAACTCAAATGGGTGATGGTGGTAAGAAGTCATACGCCAATATCACGTTGCATGATGAACCTGGTAATGTCATTGAGGTTGCATTATGGGATGATTATGGTAAACAATTTATGAACTACAATAACTCTAACAAGAATGATGGTCCAACAATACTTATTTTGACACATGCTTGGTGTAAGAAAAATTCAGGTTTGCTATGTTCTTAGACAAACTCAATTTTTTCATTGTTCAATGATTCTTCTTTCTCATGCACTCTAACTATATCTCTTTGTCTATGCATCAGCTTCTGGACTCCAAGGCCTTTCAAATGCTTGGAATGGCCATAGACTTCACATTAACTTAGATCATCCCCAAGTTCAGTGCTTGAAATTTAGGTAGTAAGCTTTTCATTTTTTCTAATCCAAGTTATATTAAAGTTGTGTAGTTCAATTGTATAACAGTTTTGTATTCTAAGTTGCATACTAGTGGAAGCATTATACAGCATTTTACTTCTGTCACATTATGATAGAAAATTCTGATTTTTTAATGCATAACAGTGGTGGTTCAATACAACTATCAACTGCATCCTCACATTCTCTGAGCCAAACATGTGATTCATCTGTTCAATCAACAAACAAAAGTTGGACCAACCCCAATGAGGTCAAAATTATTCGTCATATCAATGAATTAGGAAAGGATTGTTTTGCCATGACAATTGGCACTACAAAGAGATTCAAAACCTCTAAGTTTGGATGGTATTTTGAGTCTTGCCCTGCTTGCAAGACCTCTAACAAGTCACGTGGAGAGAATTTTGAGTGCATTTGTAGAGTGAAAGATGTGGAACCTATCACTAAGTAAGTTATCATCCAAATATACATTTATGCCCTCTTGTGTATTCACAAGCTGAACTCAATTGAAGTCACTTTATTTTCTTCATGTTTTAGATTCAAAATAGAAGTTGAGGTTGACTATGACAACCATGTTGGGTGCTTTGTGTTTTAGGATAAGGATTGTATCCCTTTCATTGAAATGACAGCTCGAGAGTTAAGACAACTCATGAAGGAGGTATGTACTTCAAAACCAACATTGCATAATATTTCATTTTTCTATTACATTATGCTATTTAACATTCTAACCATGCTTCCGACCTAGGTTGGAGAGGACAACCCTAAAATATATCCAGCACAACTTGACAAATTATTGAACAAAGAACTAGCATTTCGAGTCAAGTATCAATCTTTTTTTTAACAATACTCAATTGTTACCATCATTAAGGATGGTGATGTTTACAAAACCTTGAATAACTTGCTTAACCCTGATGAGGTACACACCATTTATTTACACTGCATCTATTATGTATTAGGTCAGCATAATCCTTAATGATTTTATAATGCATTTTTAATTTCTTTTCAGCATATTATTACTCCAATGGAAGTTCAAGACCCGCCTATTGTATGCCCTCAATTATATACAAATATTTATTTATTTGTTTGCATCATCCTCCTTCTATTTAAATGTCCATAACTGTTATTGTATTTATATGTGGATGACACCAACTGGTGAATATTCCATATCTACTCAACCATCTACCTCTCCCAACCAAACTTGGAGTCCATCAACTAGCTCCAGCAACACCCCTGCTAAGAGGGTTGCAATTTTAGCATCTCTTGATAAGATATTCCAGAATGAGGTCTTAACTCCCAAGCAATCCACAACTAAATCTAAACACCTAAAGAAGGAGTGATTTTATGGCCTTACCATTGCCAGCCTCTCATTTTGTTGCTTTTTGTATTATTTTGTTGACACCATTTGAATATGGATTGATTTTAAACCTTAAGCCATATTATTACTTTAGTGTGTCATTTTGAATGTTTTCTTAATGATATAGCTCGAACTAATTATATCATGGATTATTAATTTTGTAACGAGTCTTCCAAGTTTAATTAACCACTTTTTTTTTATGTTGCTGACACTCAATGGGTAGCGTGTATACCTCTTAGTATTATAGCATGATTGATTACAATTATCATTTCTACCAAGGGTCCTTTGAAACTTATCACATCTATTTTCACAGTCTGCAAGTTTGTTAATATGTTGATATGTTTAAAACATTTACTCTTACTATGTATATGGTTTAAATTTACACTTAATCTGCATGTTGGTATGGTTTTAAAACAATGTCATTTTAAGAATTACATAGACACTTCCAGGTTCTGGCTCAAGGCATGTTTATCATGATACTTTTTTCCTAAAAACATGATACTTTGCAAAATGCTATTATTCTGAGTTTATTACTTTTGTTGAAATGGTTTTTACCTGAGCTTTCAATTGATGCTATTATTCTGACTTTTAAATTGATGCTATTTTTCAATTGTTGGAAGGTACTTTTCAATTGATGCTATTTTTCCTAAAAGCATGTTTATTATGAGTTTTATTAGCTGAGTTTATTACTTTTGAGTTTCTTTGCAATAATGATAATTCTGAGTAAACATGTTTTGGTTGAAAAGTATTTTGCAATGACATTTGCCTATTCTCAGTATAAATGGTTTTTCAATTATGAATGTGGAGTTATTTAATGTTCAATGCAAGGATTCAAGAAATGCCTTTGGAAAAGAACCTCTTTTAGCTTCCTTCAAGATGCAATCAATATTTTGGAGTTGATATTAACAGATCCTCGGGAACCGGCCATGCTATGATCAAATCTTAAATAAATGACACTGCTCTCTTTTCCAGCAAGCTACCTAAGACACATTTTATCCAAGATTTCAAAACTTAAAATATACTACAACGTACATTTGCTTTTTCGTTTCTTAGACATGTCAACTACACCATGACATATCTTTGTAGGAAATAGTTTCAAATGCTTCAATGTAGCATGTTGTTAACTTCCTATAATAATGCAAACTTATGCTGCTAATGACTTATCATGCAGTGCAGCCTAAAAATGTCATGTAGGAAGTTGTACCTTTTAACTTTAGTGTAAAAAACAAACCATGCTCAGTAACTACATCCGTGAGATGTTGGATCGAACTCTAGTATGGTCGAAATCTGTTCGCGAGTAATGCATGTTGTAGTCTAAGTCTATTCTAACATGCATTAGTCAATATTGCTAGGGTTGTTAGCATGTTGAATTGGGTCTTGCTTGTAAGCCCAATTGTTTAAGTTAGCTTGTACCCTAAGTTAACTTGTAATGGGTAATTGTTAAAAAGCCCATTAGGTTAGTGTGATACTTTATTATAAATAGGATGCTAGTTTCTCAATCTTGGCATAAGGAAAAATAGGAAGATAAAATCATAATTTCAAGAGAGAGAGGTTATTTTGTTATTCTTGTATACTTGTAATCTTGTTCTAAGAGAAAGGAAAGAATAGCAGTTTAATAACCAATCCTTGTTGTTTTCTTCTTTATTTACCCTAACCCTTGTGTGTTTCTTGCTAAGAACCCGTTTATACTTTATTTAAAGGTATCCGATTCACAACAAATTGGTGTGGTGAGCGTGGAGAAGATGCCTTCAACAAAGTATGAGATTGAAAAGTTTACCGGAGTGAACGACTTCGGTCTGTGGCGCTTGAAGATGAAAGCCCTATTGGTTCAGCAGGGTTGTTTGGAAGCATTGAAGGGTGAGGCAGCCATGGACGTTGCGTTAACAGCAAAAGAAAAGATGCGCATGATCGAGAAAGCCCACAACGCAATATTGTTGAGTTTGGTGATAAGGTTCTTCGACAGGTATCAAAGGAGAATACAGCATCGGGATTATGGGTGAAACTTGAAAGTTTGTACATGACCAATTCTCTGGTTAATCGACTCTACCTGAAGCAAGCTTTATATTCATTCAAGATGAGTGAAGACAAAATGTTGGTTGAGCAGTTGGATATGTTTAACAAGCTGATTCTTGATCTTGAAAAATATTTATGTGAAGATCGATGATGAAGATCAAGCATTGTTGTTGTTGTGTTCTTTGCTCATAACACATGCTCACTTCAAAGAAACTCTCTTGTATGGAAGGGAGTCTCTGACCTTTGAAGAAGATCAATCAACCTTGTATTCTAAGGACTTGAACAAACGAAAGGAGCATAAACCTTCGACTGTGGGTGAAGGTTTGACCGTTAAGGGAAAATTCTTGCGAAAGGATGGTAAGTTCGACAAGAAGAAAGGTAAAAGTCAACAGAAGTCTTATAGTGGTGAAACATCTAGTATTCGATGTTATCACTGTAAGAAGGAGGGTCACATAAGAAAGGTGTGCCCTGAACGCCTGAAAGATCATGGAGGTAATGGCAATGCAGCCATTGTTCAAGATGACTTTGACTCGTCTGATGTTCTTGTGGTTTTAAGTGGTGATTCGAGGAAATAGTGGATTATGGATTCATGTTGCACTTGGCACGTGACTCCAAATAGAGAATTGTTCGAGGAGCTATGTGATCAAGATGGTGGATATGTGCTACTAGGAAACAACAAATCTTGCAAAATTGCAGGTATTGGATTTGTGAGATTCAAGCTCCATTATGAGTCAATAAGGTTATTGACTGAAGTCAGGTACGTACCTGACTTGAAGAGAAATTTGATTTCTCTTGGTGAATTCGACAGAAAAGGATACGTTTTTCAAGGAGAGAAAAGTATCTTAAGAGTCATGAAGGGGTTGAAGGAAGTATTGAGAGGCATTAAGAAACAAGGCTTATATACCCTTGAGGCTTAAGTTGTAAGTGGTTCGAAAAATTTTGCATCCACGAAACTTATGTCGAAGACAGAATTATGGCACATGAGATTGGGCCATGTCAGCGAAAGAGGCCTGGTCGAATTGGGGAAGTAGAACCTGCTAGGAGGTGACAAAGTTGAAAAGTTGGAATTTTGTGAATCTTGTGTATTTGGTAAATCCTGTAGAGCAAAGTTTAACAAAGGCAAGCAAAGAACACATGGATCCCTGGATTACATTCATGCTGATCCTTTGAGGCCTGTAAGGAATCCTTCACACTTAGGTGCAAGGTATTTTCTATCCATCCTTGATGACTATTCCAGAAAGCTATGGGTATTCATTCAGAAGACGAAGGATGACAATTTTGAGAATTTCAAAAGTTGGAAGATTTTGGTCGAAACTCAAACTGGCAGTAAGGTTAAGAGGTTGAGAACCGACAATGGCCTTGGATTTTGCAACGAAGCATTCAACAGTTACTGTGCTGAGTCTGGGATTGCAAGGCATAAGACAGTAGCATGTACTCCTCAATAAAATGGCTTAGCTGATAGATCCAATCGAACAATCCTTGAAAGCGTCAGATGCATGTTGGTTAGTGCTGGATTGAAGAAGGTGTTTTGGGCGGAAGTTGTTTCGATAGCAACTTACTTGATAAATAGATGTCCCTCGACTGGCTTGGGAATGAAGACACATGAAGAAGTTTGGTCGGGACATCCACCTAGTCTCGACAGACTGAGAGTATTTGGCTGTGTGGCCTATGCTCATATTAGGCAAGACAAGGTCGAACCTAGAGCTCTGAAGTGCATGTTCATGGGATACCCTGAAGGAGTCAAAGCTTATAGGCTATGGTGCCTAGAGCCAGGTCACAGAAGGTGTATCACCAGTCGATATGTAGTTTTCAATGAAGCAGAGATGGCTTTCAAGAAAAATGATGATACTGACAAAGAGCTGGAACAGGGAGAGATTCCTGTTGAGGTGGAGCATGTTGATGCTGAATTACTTACCCCAGATGAAGTCGAAGAAGACGCATAAGATGTTGTCGAAGATGAGGAGATTGATAATGACTACCTGCTAGCAAGAGACAGGTCGAGGAGAGTCATCAAGCCACCTCAGAGACTTGGGTATGCAGATCTTATAGCTTATGCCTTAATCTCTGCTAGTGCAGTTCTAGGTGAAGAACTTAGAGACTATAAGGAAGTTATGAGGAGTTGAAAGAAGACTGAATAGTTGAAGGCAATGGATGATGAGATGAAATCTCTTCATGATAACAACACTTGGGAATTGATCAAGAAACCTGCTGGAGCCAGGTTAGTCAACTGTAAATGGATTTTCAAAGTTAAGGAAGGAATCGAAGGAGTGACGTCGAAGAGATACAATGCAAGATTGGTTGCTAGGGGTTTCACTCATAAAGAAGGTATCGACTTCAATGATGTGTTCTCTCCTGTTGTGAAGCACAAATCCATTCGAATGTTGCTTGCCATGGTGGCCCAGTTCGACCTTGAACTGGAACAGATGGATGTGAAGACTGCGTTCTTATATGGTGATCTAGATGAAACAATCCTGATGAGGCAACCTGAAGGGTATGTCGAAAGGGGGAAGGAAGGTTATGTGTGCAAATTGAATAGATATTTATATGGACTGAAACAATCTCCTTGACAATGGAATAGGAGATTCGACAAGTTCATGGCACACATAAGTTTCATTAGAAGCCAGTTCGACCACTGTGTTTACTTCAGATTTCGACTGGGTAATTCATTTGTTATTTTGTTGCTCTATGTGGATGATATTCTAATAGCAAGCAACAATGTCAGAGAGGTAATGAGGGTGAAGGTTGAACTCAATAAAGAGTTCGACATAAAAGATCTAGGAGCTGCATCCAGGATTCTTGGGATTGACATCCGGAGAGATAGAAAGCATTTGAAATTATGCTTATCTCAAGAGGCATACCTACAGAAGATTCTCTAAAAGTTTGGTATGTCTAATTTAAAGCCTGATGTGACTCCGATAAACCCTCAATTTAAGATGGGTACTGCACCCTAAAATTTGCCCAACATATTTC